TGACCTCAGGTGATCCACCCCCGCCCTTGGCCTCATCCCAAAGAAACTTCTAAGGAATTTACACGGTGTGAGCCACAGAAACTGGGTGGAATATTCTTTTCTTTCTTTCTTTTTTTTTTTTTTTTTGTTTTTTTTGAGACGCGTAGGTCTCTCGCTCTGTTCGCTCGCAGGCTGGAGTTGTCAGTGGCGCTATCCCTCGGCTTCACGGCAAGCTCCGACTCCCCGGGCTGTTTCACGGCGACGCCATTCTCTCCCTCCCTCTTGCCTCTAGCCTCGGAGTAGCTGGGACTACAGGGCGCCCACCACTCCATCGCCCAACTAATTTTTTGTATTTTTAGTAGATGACAGGGTTTCACCATGTTAGCCCCAGGATGGTCCCATCCTCAACTAATTTTTTGTATTTTTAGTAGAGACAGGGTTTCACCATGTTAGCCAGGATGGTCTCCATCTCCTGACCTCGTGATCTGCCTGCCTCAGACTCCCAAAGTGCTGGGATTACAGGCATGAGCCACCGCGCCCGGCCTCATTGGTGAATTTCAGGCAATGGAAGGATATGAGCAAATGTGAAGATCTGAAAGACCACTCCAGTGGAGAATAAAGAGAAGAAAGGGAATTGGGAACTGGGGAGACCAGCAGGGAGGCTGTTGCAGGGAAGCAGTAGTGAGAAGATGGTGCCCTGGGCGGGGCATGGTGGCTCATGCCTGTACTTCCAGCACTTTGGGAAGCCGAGGTGGGAGGATCGCTTGAGCCCAGGAGTTTGAGACCAGCCTAGGCAACAAAGGGAGACCCTGTCTCTAGAAAAAAAAAAATTAAATCAGCCAGGTGTGGTGGTGCACGCCTGTAATCCCAACTTCTTGGGAGGCTGAAGCGGGAGGATCCCTTGGGTCCAGGAGTTTGTTGTTGAGTGAGCCATGATTGCGCCACTCCATTCCGGCCTGGGAGACAGAGCAAGGGAGACCAGCCTGGACAACATGGTGAAACCCTGTCTCTACTAAAGATACGAAAAATTAGCCAGGCATGGTGGTACGCACCTGTAATCCCAGCTACTCAGGAGGCTGAGGCAGAAGAATCGCTTGAACCCAGGAGGCAGAGGTTGCAGTGAGCCAAGATGGTGCCATTGCACTCCAGCCTGGGTGACAGGGCAAGACTCCATCTCAAAAAAAGGAAAAAAAGAAGGAGGAGGAGGAGGAGGAGGAGGAAGAGGAGGAGGAGAAGAAAAAGAAGAGAAAGAAAAAAAAGAACAAGAAAGAAGAAGAAAGGAGGAAAAGGAGGAGGAAGAAGAGGAGGAGGAGGAAGAAACAACAACAGCCTTGGACTAGGAATGCTGGCAGGATGGTGTGGATGGAGAGTAGATTTGAGAGAGATGGGAGATAAAATCAGCAGGACTTGGTGATGGGGGATGAAAGACGGGAGACATTAGAGATGACTATTGGGGATTGTGTCTGTGTTGATTGAATGGTTAGGTAAATGAGTGGATGATGGTGCCATTCACCAGGTTAAGCAACACAGGAGGAGAAGCCATTTGGAGAGAAATGATGACTTCAGCTTTGAACATACTGTTTTGGTGTCTGTGGGACATCCAAGTAGAGATGTCCAGAAGGCAGCTGTACATATGTGCTTGTGTCTCAGGAGAAGGGTCTGGACTAGAGACACAGATGTGAGAGTCATTAGGTTGCAGGTGGTGGTTGAAGGCAAGGGAATGGATGAGGATAATCTCAGGTGGTTGCATAGCATAAGGAAAGAAGAGAAGGTCGGGCACGGTGGCTCCTGCCTCTAATCCCAGCACTTCGGGAGGCCAATGTGGGTGGATCACTGGAGGTCAGGAGTTCAAGACCAGGCTGACCAACATGGTGAAACCCTATCTCTACTAAAAATACAAAAATTAGCTGGGCATTGTGGTGCATGCCTGTAATCCTGGCTACTTGGGAGGCTGAGGCAGGAGAATTGCTTGAACCCGAGAGGCAGAGGCTGCAGTGAGCCAAGATCATGCCACTGCATTCCAGCCTGGGTGACAGAGCAAGACTCTGTCTCAAAAAAAAGGGAAAGAAGAGATCCTAAGCACAAACTCTGGGGGCAGGTTAATTGTTCAGGAAAGGCACAGGAAGGGGAATCTGTGAAGGAGACTGAGAAGGCCCAACCAAACAGGTAAGAAGAAAACCAAGAAAATCACAGGGTCATGTGTCACAGAGAGACCAAAAGGAGAATCCCAAGGGCTGAGTGGCCATGGGTATGTGGGCTGCTGAAATAAAGTAAGATCACAGTGGAGAAGTGTCCCATGGACGTAGAGAAGGGAGGGCATTAAAGACCTTGGTAAGAACTGAGTCAATGGAGTAGCAGGGGAAAGAAATCAGCATAGACTGGGATGAGAAGGCAGAGAGAAAGGTGGGAGAGAATTAAAAGTAGGCAACTCAGGCTGAGGTGGGCAGATCACGAGGTCAGGAGATGAAGACCATCCTGGCAAACACGGTGAAACCCCGTCTCTACTAAAAAAAATACAAAAAATTAGCCAGGCGTGGTGGCGGGCGCCGGTAGTCCCAGCTACTCGGGAGGCTGAGGCAGGAGAATGGCGTGAACCTGAGAGGCGGAGGTTGCAGTGAGCCGAGATGGTGCCACTGCACTTCAGCCTGGGCTACAGAGTGAGACTCCATCTCAAAAAAAAAAAAAAAGTAGGCAATTCTCAGAATGCAGCTGTGAAGAGGAAGAGAAGGTGGCATCTGGAGAGGTTTTTTTGTTTTTAAGATGGAGTTTCGCTCTTGTCACCCAGGCTGGAGTACAATGGCACCATCTCGGCTCACCGCAACCTCCTTCCACTTCCCGGGTTCAAGTGATTCTCCTGCCTCAGCCTCCTGAGGAGCTGGAATTACAGGCATGTGCCACCACACCTGGCTAATGCATTTTTAGTAGAGACAGGGTTTCCCCATGTTGGTCAGGCTGGTCTCGAACTCCCAACCTCAGGTGATCCACCCACCTCAGCCTCCCAAAGCTATGGGATTACAGGCGTGAGCCACTGTGCCTGGCCCTGGAGAGGTTTTTAAAAGATGGCAGAAGGCTGTTTGGAGGAGTCCACCCCCATCTCCCCTGTGTAAAAGGAAAGCGGAAGAGAGAACCACAAAGGCGGCTTGGGGGAAAGCCGTGGAGTGAGGCGATAAGGGCTTGTGTCCAAGGGATTCCTGGTCACTGGAATCCCTATCAGGCCTGCATTTCCTCCTCACCCCCATCCTCTTTCTTGCCACTGGCTTAGTCCTCCATGGGGCTAGAAGAGAGAAGGACTGAGTTGAGTGGCACCTCAGAAGACGCTATGTGCCTTCGGAGGTCTTTCTGCCTGCCTGTAAGCCGGGGTTGGTGCTGGGGCAGGAGAGGGGTTGGAGGGAGGGGAAAGAGGGCCTGGAGCTAGTAGTTTAAGCTCTGCAGGCAAGGGTGGGAGAGGGGAGTAGGGAGGACAGGAGGTGTGAACGCTGTTTCTGGAAGCGAAGCTGCAGGGGGAAGGGGACTGGGACCTGGGGGAATGCTTCCAGGGGCTGCAGGGGGGTCCACTCAAGGCCCCCTTGCCCACAGGTCCTCATGCCTCTCCTCCTCTTGGTGCTCCTGCTGCCAAGCCCCTTACGTCCCGAACCCATGTGTGAGGTCTCCAAAGTGGCCAGCCACCTAGAAGTGAACTGTGACAAGAGCAATCTGACAGCACTGCCTCCAGACCTGCCAAAAGACACGACAATCCTCCAGTTGGGGGAGAACCTCCTGTACAACTTCTCCCTGGCATCCCTGGTGCCTTTCACTCGCCTCACTCAGCTGTACTTAGATAAGTGCGAGCTCACCAAGCTCCAGGTCGATGGGACACTGCCAGTGCTGGGGACCCTGGATCTATCCCACAATAAGCTGCAAAGCCTGCCCTTGCTAGGGAAGTCACTGCCTGCTCTCACCATCCTGGACGTCTCCTTCAACCAGCTGACCTCGCTGCCTCTTGGTGCCCTGCATGGTCTTGGCAAACTCCAAGAGCTCTACCTGAAAGGCAATGAGCTGAAGACCCTGCCCCCAGGGCTCCTGACGCCCACACCCAAGCTGGAGAAGCTCAGTCTGGCTAACAACCACCTGACCCAGCTCCCCGCCGGGCTCCTGGATGGGCTGGGGAATCTCGACACCCTTCTCCTCCAAGAGAACTCGCTGTATACGATACCAAAGGGCTTTTTTGGGTCCCACCTCCTGCCTTTTGCTTTTCTCCATGGGAACCCCTGGTTATGCAACTGTGAGATCCTCTATTTTCGTCGCTGGCTGCAGGATAATGCCGAAAATGTCTACGTGTGGAAGCAAGGTGTGGACGTCAAGGCCATGACCTCTAACGTGGCCAGTGTGCAGTGTGACAATTCAGACAAGACTCCTGTCTACAAATACCCGGGAAAGGGATGCCCCACCCTTGGTGATGAAGATGACCCAGGCCTATATGATGACTACACAGACGAGGACACTGAGGGTGATGAGGTGCGTGCCACAAGGACTGTGGTCAAGTTCTCCACCAAAGCCCATACGACTCCCTGGGGTCTGTTCCACTCATGGTCTGCTGCTTCTCTAGACGGTCAAACGCCCTCCTCCTTGCATCCAACACAAGAATCCACTAAGGAGCAGACCACATTCCCCCCAGATGGACCCAGATTCGACACTTCACATGGGATCTGCCCATTCTCAAAAACTCCAAATCCACTACTGCAAACTGACACAAGCCCGACCACCTCGAGCCCACCCCAAGCCCCACTACCCCCAGAGGCCCGCGCCCAGAAGCCGCCAAGGGGCCCGGGCCACCCCTGAAGGCCCACCCAAACCGATCACCCTGAGCCCACTCCAAAGTCAGACCACCTCGAGGCCCCACCCCAAGGGCCCACCACCAGGAGCCCACCCCAGAGCCTGCCCCAGCCCGACACCCACAGCCCACCCCAATTCAGGACACCCCAGCGAGCCCCACCCCACCCGGACCACCCACAGCCACCGGCCCCAGTTCAGACCACCCCAGAGCCCACCCCAAGCCCGATCACCCCAGAGCTGGCCACAAGCCCGACCATCCCGGAGTCTGCCACAAGCCTGATCACTCCAAAAAGCATCACATTTTTGACTACCACAAAACCCGTATCACTCTTAGAATCCACCAAAAACAACATCCCTGAATTTGATCAGCAACCAAAGCTCCGTGGGGTGCTCCAAGGGCATTTCGAGAGCTACAGAAATGACCCTTTTCTCCACCCCGACTTTTGCTGCCTCCTCCCCCTGGGCTTCTATGTCTTGGGTCTTCTCTGGCTCCTCTTTGCCTCTGTGGTCCTCATCCTGATGCTGACCTGGGTCAGGCATGTGAAACCACACGCCCTGGACTCTGGCCAAGGTGCTCCTCTGGCCACAGCCACACAAACCACACATCTGGAGCTGCAGAGGGGACGGCAAGTGACGGTGCCCCAGGCCTGGCTTCTCTTCCTTCGAGGCTCACTCCCCACTTTCCGCTCCAGCCTCTTCCTGTGGGTACGGCCTAATGGCCGTGTGGGGCCTCTAGTGGCAGGAAGGAGGCCCTCAGCTCTGAGTCAGGGTCGTGGTCAGGACCTGCTGGGCACAGTGAGCATTAGGTACTCTGGCCACAGCCTCTGAGGGTGGGAGGCTTGTGGAGCTTGAGAGAGGAGCCTATGGGCTCTCCTATCGAATCTAGTTGGGGGTTGGGGGCATAAGTAACAGAGAGTCATGGGGGAGGGGTCTTAATTCCTTTTTCTGTATCAGAAGCCCTCTCTTTGCACCACAGGCACACAACTTCAGTCCCAGCAAAGCAGAAAGGGTAATGACATGGGGTTGGGTGGGTCACAGGACAAAGCTCCCGATGCTGCATGGGGCGCTGCCAGACCTCACGGTCAATCATTTTGGCGGAATACAGCATGGTTCCCACGTGCATCTATGCACAGAAGAAAATCTGGAAAGTGATTTATCAGGATGTGAGCACTCATTGTGTCTGGATGTTACAAATATGGGTGGTTTTATTTTCTTTTTCCCTGTTTAGCATTTTCTAGTTTTCCACTATTATTGTATATTATCTGTATAATAAAAAATAATTTTAGGGTTGGGAGTGATGGCTCATGCCTGTAATCCCAGCACTTTGGGAGGCCAAGATGGGTGGATCGCCAGAGGTCGGGAGTTTGAGACCAGCCTGGCAAACATGGTGAAACCCGGTCTCTACTAAAAATACAAAAATTAGCCAGGCATGGTGGTGCACACCTGTAATCCCAGCTACTCGGGAGGCTGGGGCAGGAGAATTGCTTGAACCTGGGAGGTGGAAGTTGCAGAGAGCCAAGATTGTGCCACTGAACTCCAGCCTGGGTAACAGAGTGGGGCTCCATCTAAAAAAAAAAAAAAGCCTTCTGGCCGGGTGCAGGGGCTCACACCTGTAATTCCACACTCTGGAAGGCTGAGGCTGGTGGGTTGCTTGGACCCAGGAGTTTGACACCAGGCTTGGCAACATGGCAAAACCTGATCTCTACAAAAAGTACAAAAAGTCAGCCAGGTGAGGTGGTGTGTGCCTGTGGTCCCAGGTACCTGGGTGGCTGAGGAGGGAGGATCACCTGAGCCTGGGAGACGGAGGCTGCAGTGAGCCCTGACTGTGCCACTGTACTCCAGCCTGGGTGACAGAGTGAGAGCCTGTCTCAAGACAACTTGGTTTCTTTTGGTGAAGAGTGGCTGGGGCACCTGTCATGAGAATTCACGAGGCTCCAACTGCCCCTACACTGGTCACAACTTATCCAATAGACCTTCAGTTATAGCCTGCACTTCCCCTGCCTGGGGTGCCTCCTTCTATCCTCCAGGGCTGGCCACCCACCAGGCCACCCTAGGCATCAGATCCAGCTCAAAAATTGTCGTCTTCCTGGAGTTTAACGACAACTGCTGTTACCCACCTGGCAGCAGCCTGCAGTACTAGGGGCAAAGGTGGGTGCCTGCTTTGCACCTGCAGTCTCAGAAGTGCAGCTCTCACTGCCCAGGTCAGCAGGACTGCAAGGGGTGGGCCCTGCAGCATGCACCATTTGGTGAGTGTGACTGAATAGTCTTGGGTTTCCTGCTTTCAGGCTGGGACACAGGCGAACGGAACCCTATTTTTCTCATAAATCCTGCCATTCCCTAAACACACTGGTGTGGCTTCCTCTCCTGCCTTGTCTCCAGCCCAATCCAGGGCTTGGGGCCCAGAGAATGGGACCATGGAGACCCCCATCCCCCTCCAGATGGTCCCGGAAGATCTCCCAAACCTGAAAGTCTGACTGCATCTCTCCCCAGGTGGAGGGCCAACTCCTGAGCTTGGCAGTCAGGGATTGCCACGCACTCACCCCATCTGACAGTCCAGCTTCATCTCAAGGCAGATCACAGCCTGTGCTCCAACTATCACAAGCCTACAGATCACCTGCTCCCCGACAGCGTTTTACTCTAGGCCTTTGCCCTCAGTCCAGCCAGGTGTGCTGTCCTTGCCCCCTCCCCAGCCAGTATAATCACTCAGTGTGCAAGTCACTTCTCCCAGGTGAGGTCAGGTGCTTTCCAGGTTACCCTGCAACACTATTGCTACACTGTTTCCCAGCTGCTCCTGTATAATCTTGCCTTCTGGACTGGAAACTCCTTAAGGACAAGGTCTAGGCTTCAAGTGTCTCACAATAGCCACTAAGGCCCAGGACAGAGTGTACACAGAGGCAGCAGCAGGGGTGCCACGATGCTGAGCTCCACCTCTTCTGCTGATGAGGCTCTGCCAAAGGGACAGCTCCCACCTGCTGCCTGCCTGTCCCCTAGCCTGGCCAGCACTCCTCAGTTTGACCTTCCCAAGTTCTTTTATGCCCCAAAGAGGTTTTAAGGCTCCTTGAGGGCTGGCCTGGGAATCACACATCTTCTAAAGAAATGGATAAGGTTCTCACTCTCCCCAGCCAAGGACGCAGATTAGGTCTCTGGCCAGCATCCCCCTTTCCTGAAGCTTCCAGTGCCCACCCACTTAAGCCCTGGCCCTCCACCCGCACTGCCTCCACCCCACAATGGTCTCCCTCTTTAGGCTGCAGAAGCAGTCATCAGACCGAGGGGCTTTTCCTGGGGATTATGTGAAATGATCTGTGCATCTGTGGCATTCTTGGGCAAGTGGCTGGAGGAAACACGCCGGGCCTGGGATTTGAGTTTTTCTAGCCCTGTCAGCTGCTGTGGCATGACAGATTTACACAGCATTTGCATAAAACCAGCGGCTGCTTTTTCTTTAACAATTTTTCTTAAAAACTCCAGTTCCTATTCTCCAGGGGCACCAGCTTCTTTGTCCAGTCTCCTCCCCTCTCCTAGCCACCCCCCAGACTCTCCAGATTTGGGGCTGGTGTCATCAATCCGATTTATTAAGTCCTCAGTGAGGGGGAGGAAGGGCCACATCTCCCTCTGTAGGTCCTTTGACCATCTTGATGGCTTCTGCTTCTCCCTGTCCCCTCAGTTCTGCCTTGGTTTCCCCAATGAGAAGGGGGATCTTCTGCTGTCCTGTGTGCCCTGAAACTAAAACCCAGGGGGAGGCCAGAAATCCTCAGGAAGTTTTCCAGCTCCCTGCAAGAATAGCCAGGGACAGAGAAATCACAGGATCGGGATGAGCAGGGCAGGCTGGAGCAGGGGGGAGAACAGACCAAGTCCTTTACCGCAGAGGAAGAAACCACACTGTGGAAGGGAAATAAATAGAGGGGTCCAGGGCAGCAGAGCCCAGGCCCCCAGGGCGCAGTGGCCATAGACGCAGCAGGCAAGTGGGAGCCCCCGGCCGCTTCAGCCACTGAGGAAGAGACGCCTGTAGGCCTTGTTCATCTGCTCCAAGAAGATGAAGGTGAGGACGGTGTGGGGACCCAGGCGGGCATAGTACGGTGTGAAGCCCTTCCACAGGCTGAAGAAGCCCTCGTAGCGGACAACCTTGAACAGGACATCCTAGACACAGACAAGCAGGGCGCTGGGGCTGCGACTCTAGGGCCCATCCCCCTTACCCAACTGCCTTCACACCTTTCCCAGGGGATCTGACACCCCACCCAGGCTCCCAGAATGGCTTCCTCACCAGTCCGTTCTTGTATTCCGGCTTCCCATCAATCATCCGCATGTTCTGGATTCTGAAGGGGAGGCGGCAGGGGCATGAGAGACCGAAAGGACACCTTCCCACCCACCTCCAGGAACAGACTGCACACTCACCGGGTCTTGGCAATATCCACAGGCATGGAGGCAGCAGTGGTGACAAGACCGCTTATCATGCTGGCGCAGAAGTGGCACAAGATGTTGTCAGAGAAGTAGCCTGGGGGAGGTGAGGCGGGGGTGGCAGTCAGCTCAGAGGTGGCTCAGGCCAGGCTGGGAGCTAAGGGCCCAGCTCTGGGTCTCACCTGAGTCCAGCAAGAACTGCTTGGATTGGGAGTAGGAGGCCAGCTGGGCAGCATTGACGACGACCGCCCGAGCCATGGTAGGGATGCAGCCCTGGAGGGAGGGGAGCGGGCAAGAGTCAGAAACCCCTAAAACCGGACTTCACAGCCCCCAAGTCTCCAGCCCCTCCACTCACCCGCCACAGGGTGAGGACTCCCTCTTCCCGGGTGATCCGAATCAGGGCATTAAACACATTTTTGTAGCCACGGCGCTGGTCAGCTGGAAGTCTGATGAGAAGGCAGGAAGAGGTCAAGATCAGGATAGCCCACAGGGCCCCACAGATGCAAAGGAAGGAAGGCCAGAACAGGTAAACGCTCTGCTCTAGATGTGGGATAGAAAAGTGGTCCTTTCATTCTAGATTCCAGGGAATGGGGCTGGGGTGAGGTTCAGACTTGGAACTCACCGGCCATCCGCAGTCATGCGGATAAGAGCCACTTCGGCTGGTGTTCCCACAAAGGCACCAGTGGCACCTGCCGTCATGCCAATCAGAGCCTTCAGCAGAAAGCCAGGGGGAGTACCATCAGCCCCAGTCAAGCGCTCAAACAGCACGGTATAGATGCCAAGGCGGGTAGTGGTGTAGGTGGCCTGGCGCAGCAGGCCAGCCGACAGCCTGAGGAGCAGAGGGGTCAGTATATCAGGCCAAGGTCTGGAGCTACCAACCCACAGCCTACCCTCCATCCTGAGGCCCCAATACCCGGTGTAAATGCCCCTCAGGCCTTCTGCCTTCAGGATACTGGTGAGGGCATGGAAGCTGGTTTTGTACTCTCGAGTCTTGGCCCCTTCCCCACTCAGCTGCATCCGGTTCTTCACCAGGTCCAGGGGCTGGACAAAAACTGTAGCTCCCATCCTGGGGGAAGACAGAGGTGGAGTGAAGGGCCAGGCATTCCAGATCTACCAGTGCCCACTGGAGCCTGGCAGCAAGAGGTTACAAAGGTCAGGGCCTGCCATGCGATTCAAGAATCAGGATGCTGGTGAGCACGTGTATAAGAGTCTATATGTACACCGAGTGCAACGGGTCTGAAAAGTCTAGTTGTCCAGGCGGGGCCATGCAATGAAAGTGCTCCAAGCAGCTTCATGACAGTCAAGCAGTGACCTGGGGCTGCACGCAGTCCGACACAGGGAGGGGACGAAGGGGCATCCAAGATTTAGGACTCCAGGTAGTCCTCCAGGAGCCATTTAATGGCCTGGAATCCCCTGTAGCCCGGTCAAGCTTAGCAATGCGCTGGGAAACTCAGGTGGCCCGGCGGGGGTTGTGCAACGACCCCGCATGCAGTCCAGAAGGGGCCTTGCATGGGGCCCTAGCAGCCTATTGGGGAACTCGTAATACGCTGGAGATCACGCTGACCCCGTGCCGGCACAGTTCACTGCAACAGACCCAGAGATGAACCGGGCCCGGTTCCTTGCACCCGTCCCTTCCTCCTCTTTTCCCATCCCTGGGGCCTGAGCTTACCCGGCCAGGCCCCCAAACAGGAACTTGATGGACTTAGGGGAGGTACGGGGCTTCCCGTCCATCCCGCCGGCCCCGGCACTCGCCGTCGCCGCCATCGCCACTCAATGGCCCTCGGCTCCGGGTTCCGTGCGCGCGCGGCCCCGCTCGCGCCCAAGGTGACACCGCGCGCGCAACAGGGCGAGGGCGCGCGCACGCCCCTCCGGCTCTCAGGTCCGGCATCCGCTGGAAGCCAG